GCTGGGACAGATTTTAAGTATCAGTTCTGCTTACAAAGATGTGATCTAATCCTGTTTACATGAAATAAGCCTGCTCCCGAGCAGGTTTAAGCTTAAGAACCTGTTGGTATGACAGCAACTCCGGAATGAGCTTCGAAGAACCAACCAATCCAAGATCATGCCAAATCATCAACAATCAAATCCAACTAACTGAGTTAGCAACGTTCACGATCAAGCCGTGAACCCTGTTCACGGTTGCGGCCCCACTGTTTACACCAGGGATCAGCTGTTAGCATTCCGCAATACTGCGCCGTTATTCTAGGAAAGACCGGATGCCCCCTGTGAGCTGAGGAGGAAAGAACGTGGGAACTGAGCTGGTGCTCTGTGTCGGGCCAAAAAGAGACGTTATAGACCAGCTCTCTGGGGAATGTGAGATCTCTACCCAATAAGATGGACGAGCTAGCGGCTCTGACCCGGCATCAGAGGGAATTCCAGGAGTGTAGCATCATGTGGTTTACGGAGTCATGGCTAACTAAGCTAACACCGGATTCGACCGTAGCTCTGGATGGATTTCAGCTATAACGTGCGGACAGAACGATGGAGACCAGAGAAAGGGAGGAGGGCTGGCAGTATTTGTGAATAACAGATGGCGTAAACCTAGTCACATCACAGTTAAAGAGCAGATCTGCTGTAACGACATTGAGCTGTTAACCGCTAGCATGAGACCGTACTATCTGCCCAGGGAATTTTCGCATGTTATTGCGATAGCTGCGTATATTCCCCCCTCTGCTGATGGTGAATCGGCATGCAATGTTTTGCATTCGATTGTTAACAGACTGCTGACACGGAGCCCTAATGCTCTTCTCATTACTGTATCTCTGGAGATTTTAATCATGCCCCTCTGTCCTCCACTCTTCCCACATTCACCCAGTATGTTTTGTTACACCAGAGACAATAAAAATACTGCTGGACTTATTTTTTGCCAATTTCAAGGAGGCTTATACCTCAGCACCCCTTCCCCCCTTAGGAAGATCGGATCACAACCTGGTTCATCTCCAGCCTGTGTACAAACCCCTTGTATGCAGGCAACCAGCCGTCTCTCGCACAGTGAGGACATGGTCTGATGAGACCAGTGAGGCTTTGAAAGACTGTTTTGATACAACTGTGTGGGAGGAATTGTGTAATTCACATGGGGAGGATATTGACAATTTAACAGACTGCATTACGGATTATAATAACTTTTGTGTGGAGAATACTGTACTGTATTTTTGTGTGGAGAAGGACTGTACAGTGTTTTCCCAATAACAAGCCATGGCACAATCCTGATATAAAGGCTCTTCTTACGGAGAAGAAGAGGGTTTTAGATCAGGAAACAAGGACTGAAAACTGTTCAGAGAGTACTAAGGAAGAAGATCAGGGAAGGAAAGGCATGCTACAGGAGGAAGATGGAGGATCAACTGCAGCAGAACAATGTCAGCAGTGTGTGGAAAGGGCTCAAAAACATCACTGGTCATACGGAGCCCAGCTCTCAAGCTGAGGGTGACCAGAAGTGGGTGAATGACCTGAACCTATTTTTTATAGATTTGACCAGCTACCCTCCCCGGCCCCCACCCAGTCCCCTCTACTGCAACCCCCATTCTCTGCTCCCACAGCAAGTTGCTCCAGCCCTACCTCTCTCTACACTGCTCTCAGCTCACAGCCTATTCATAACACATCTCTTCATAAAACATCTAATTTATCCCCCCTACCAATTTTCCCCAGCCCCCACTCTCCTTATGACATACTGCCCCTCACAGAAGCCCAGGTGAGGAGCTTAGGAGGATCAAGGCAAGGAAGGCTGTGGGCCCGGATGGCATCAGCCCCAGGCTCCTTCAGACCTGTGCTGACCAGCTGTGTGGCATATTGTACATGTTTGGTCTCAGCCTGAAGCTGGGGAAGGTGCCACAGCTGTGGAAGACATCCTGCGTGGTGCCTGTACCAAAGACGTCTTGCCCAAAAGATTTTGGTGACTATAGACCGGTAGCGTTGACCTCACACCTGATGAAGACGTTGGAGAGGTTGGTGCTATAATCTCCGACCTCTGGTGAGCCCATTAAAGAACCCACTTCAGTTTGCCTACCAGCCAGGTATAGGAGTTGAAGACGCTGTCATCTTCCTCCTTAATAGGGCTCTTTCACACCTGGAAAAGACTGGGAGCACAGTGAGAGTCATGTTTTTTGACTTCTCTAGTGCTTTTAATACTATCCAACCTGCGCTTCTGAGGGATAAGCTGGAGTACATGGGGGTGGACCATCGCCTTTCTACCTGGTTACTGGATTACCTCACAAACCGAACACAGTATGTGAGGGCTCGTGACTGTAAGTCTGACATGGTTGTTTGCAACACAGGAGCTCCACAGGGAATGGTCTTGGCTCCGTTCCTTTTCACTGTCTATACTACAGACTTCATGCTCAGCTCAGCAACCTGTCACCTGCAGAAGTTCTCTGATGACTCTGCCATCGTTGGCTTGATCACGGATGACAAGGAGTACAGAGAACTGATCCAGGACTTTGTGGACTGGTGCCAACGGAGCTGCCTCCAGATAAATGCAAAGAGCTTGGTGGTGGATTTCCATAGGAACAAACACTCTTCACTATCACTAGTGAACATCCAGGGAAAGGATATTGAGAGAGTGGATACTTATAAATACCTGGGTATTCATCTGAACAACAAACTGGACTGGACAGATAATACAGATGCAATTTATAAGGAGGAACTTATTAAAGGAGATTAAAGCTTAGTTCACCCAAAAATGAAAATTAGCCCATGATTTACTCACCCTTAAGGCATCCTAGGTGTATATGACTTTCTTCTTTCAGGCGAATCCAGTCGGAGTTATATTAAAAAGTGTCTTTGATCTTCCAAGCTTTAGAATGGCACTCAGTGGGTGTTACAGTTCATCAGTCCAAAAGAAGTGAAATTAAGCGCACAGTAATAACATCCATAGTAAAACGTGCCTCACACGACTCCGGGGGGTGAATGAAGGCCTTCTGTAGCGAATTCATGCGTTGTTGTAATAAAAATATACATATTTAAAAACTTATAAACACTTTTCTGTCACTTTCTGTAGCTGTCGTACGCGCGTTCATTCCGGGCGGATGACGTTGGACGTATTGGTAGCGCATGCGCCGGTTGAGAAGTGACGAACGCAGAAGCAGAGAGGAGAGAACAAAACAAAACACCTGTCACAAATTAGAAGTACAAAACGAGGATTTGTAAAGAAAAATGTTGGAGGATTTCGATCGATTCGCTAAAGGAGGTCTTTATTCACCCCCCGGAGCCATGTGAACTCCGGGGGGTGAATGAAGGCCTTCTGTAGCGAATTCATGCGTTGTTGTAATAAAAATATACATATTTAAAAACTTATAAACACTTTTCTGTCACTTTCTGTAGCTGTCGTACGCGCGTTCATTCCGGGCGGATGACGTTGGACGTATTGGTAGCGCATGCGCCGGTTGAGAAGTGACGAACGCAGAAGCAGAGAGGAGAGAACAAAACAAAACACCTGTCACAAATTAGAAGTACAAAACGAGGATTTGTAAAGAAAAATGTTGGAGGATTTCGATCGATTCGCTAAAGGAGGTCTTTATTCACCCCCCGGAGCCATGTGAAGCACGTTTTACTATGGATGTATGCGCTTAATTTCACTTCTTTTGGACTGATGAACTGTAACACCCACTGAGTGCCATTCTAAAGCTTGGAAGATAAAAGACATTTTTTAATGTAACTCCGACTGGATTTGTCTGAAAGAAGACGATGCCTTGAGGGTGAGTAAATCATGGGCTAATTTTCATTTTTGGGTGAACTAACCTTTTAAGGTCTTTCGGTGTGCAGGGATCCCTACTAAAGACCTTTTTTGACTCTATGGTGGCTTCAGCCATCTTCTATGGAGTGGTCTGCTGGTGCAGCAGCATCTATACTGCAGATAGGAAGAGATTAGACAAACTGATCAAGAAGGCCAGCTCAGTCCTGGGGATGCCCCTGGACACAGTACAGGAGGTGGGAGAAAGAAGGATGGTTGCTAAGCGATCATCCTTGTTGGAGAACGATTCCCACTGTATGAAACAGTCTCATCTCTGAGAAGCTCCTTCAGTGACAGACTGTTACATCCTAAATGTCTGAAGGAGTGATACCGAAGGTCTTTTCTCCTTACTGCTATTAGACTTTACAATCAGAGCTGCTCCCAGTGAACCAGGCAGTTACCATAATAATACATTGTCAATTACTATAATGCACATAGCTAATACTGATTCTTAAATTGTGCAATAATAATACTTAAAATTTTGTGCAATGGCAATTGTGAAACTGTGCAATAATAATAATAATTTAAACTGTAATAACCTAGTGCAATTTGTTTGTTTGACAGAGTAATTATTATTATTGTTGAATGAATATTACATAAGAGGATCCATTGGTGAGCAAGTGATGTAAGTTTACGTGCTGCTAAGTTAATGCTAAGTTCCCTCAGATCTGTTCTGATGAAGAAACAAACATATCTACATAATGACCTTAGGTTGAGCACATTTTGATTTTTTTTCTGAACTATTCCTTCGAGTATCCATAAACATCCCAAAGGGGTGGAAATTCACACTTTCATAAAACATTCTAAAAATAGCATTGTTTTGGTACATTTTATTCTATGACAATAAAGTTAAAATTTGAATGACTTAATTTCTACAACTGAATACAAAATGAACTGTGATTTGACTCACACAAAAAAAATTATAAATAAATAAAAATAACGCATATATGCACTAAACCGGTGCAAAATTGTTTAATCTCAGGCATTTTACATTCATGGTTCCAAATGACATAGTTCTTATTATTTTTTGCAATGTATCATAAAGCCATAGCAGAGTAATGGGAGAGGTGAAAGGCAAGGCAAAACGTTATATAATCAATAAAGCTTTAAACAACAGCATCATTGCAGCAATGTAGCTTTTCTACATTATCAGTTCTCTCCTGTTCTCATCATGTCTTTCCTCGGAATTCAGTTAGAACACTGTTATTCATCAGCCTGAATCATAAAAACACAACAGTTCTGATACAGCATGCTGGTAGGTGGCTTAAAGACAGGCTCTAACACACGTGTCTGTATTGACCAGAACAAGACACTTGTCAGATGGTCAGTGTGTAGCTCACACTCAGCACCTCCAGCCACATGATCAACACGTACAACAGCACATCTGCTGATTAGGATCAGCAAGCAGATAATCAGTCAATTAAAAGGTATAAACAGAAATGTGGGGTGTGAAGTCATCTGACAATACATAACTGTGCAAATAAAACACATACCCCACAAAAGGAACAGGGCTGAGGTGAACACATGTAAGCTGGCAGGTACAAAAGTTATGAGTCTGGAGAAAATACTTGATGTGTGTTAGGAAACCGTCTGGAATTGTAATCTGGGTCCTCCTTTACTCGTTTCTTAATGTCGTTTTTCAGCTGATAAAAAAAAAACAATATATATATATAAATAAATAATACTTGTTGTTTTTCTGTCAATATGGGGTGCTGTGTGTACATTAATGAGGAAAAAAAATTAACTTAAATGATTTTAGCAAATGGCTGCAATATAACAAAGAGTGAAAAATTTAAGGGGGTCTGAATACTTTCCGTACCCACTGTATATTTTATGCTATTTTATAAATGCAATATATAAAATAATGGTGGCTTGTATGTTTTTGGAAATGCCCCATGTTTTGTGTGTATTGAAAGTTTATGGGTAACTAACACTGAAAAATTTATATATTTAGAACTTTAAAAAAAGGTTATTATAGTTAACTAAAACTGAAACACTTCATTTCAGCTAGTTGCTCATTTTAATTTGACATTAACATAAACATTTTTATTAAAACTTGTACTAAAATTGTCAAAGTAAAAATTTAAATAAAACTTAATTAAGACCGTTTAGAAATACAACATCCAGTTTGCTGCCTCGATTCAAATCAGTGTTTCACAATCCTGACATGCATAATGAACAAAAATCCAGTTATAGGAACTTGAGCACATATGTTTGCACATTATTATGTCTATTTCAAGACATATGAAAATATCTTTTCACACAAGGTACCTACCTGTTCACTGTATGCTTCTTGAAGTTCTGGTTTTTCTAAATCCTCTTGTAGGGCGTTGGGAGCCAAGATGGGTGTTACACCGGCTGACTTGGCGGCTTGACTCACTGCCTCAGTGAGTGACAGTTTTGGGCCGTCACTCTTTACCATCTAGGAGACACACAATAAGAAAAATGTTGTTTATTGTGATGCTTCAGGAGAGGCAAACCAGTCTGAATGAATACAGACATCAGCAAATGTGTACATTATCTCAATGTCTACATGTAGCTGCACGAAACTGAACATTTACCTTCCTGCGCTTTGCTGGCATCCCAAGCAGATATGCATCAGACAGAGGAGGCTGGGCCTTCATCTTCCTCTGACTGATCTGATCTTGTCTGATAATAGGAACCCACTCCTGCAAACAACACAGCACATCAAACCCACACTCAGAATAACATTCAGTCTCACTTTCAATCTTCCATGATCTGACAGGCAAAAAGTGATACACAAGGATGCCACCGGGTGCCTCGAGTAGGTCACATTTTCCAAAAATGTAGTTGAATTTAAGGTACTAAATCTGTAGAAATAGCATGTTTAGGTGGACACATTGTTTTTGCAGTGAACGAAAGAAAATCAACTCACAGGAGGCAATGCAGCTGCCCAGGCTTCAGCATCTCTTGCTGTTTCCTCTCCTCCAACAGCTCCCTCTCCTTCCCTAGCTGGACCTCCCACTGCTCCTGCATCCTGGGAGGAGGCCAGAGCTTCTTCTGCTGTAGTAGCAGGTGTTGGAGAGAGGCTGTCCCCCATCTGAACCATGTATGGGAGGCGTTATATAGGAGACCATACAGTACATGAGAACAGGCTGTTAAACTAGGGTTGGGCGATGTCTACCAAATTGGCATCGGACGATGTCTACAGTGAAACATCATGATGGACGATGACATCGGGGGGCGGGGTTAGGGGTGTGCCCGAAGCGTGAAACAAATAACGCGTTATACGGAGCCACTAAAAGGTTAGCCGCTTGCTAGAGGTAGCCTGTTGCATTACAGTACATGAAAGTTCACTTTCACAGAGTAAGGAGAGATGACTGATAGGACAATGGCGAATGATTTGCAGATACTGAGCACCACTGACAAATATCTAATCTTGTAAAAT